GCCGTTAAGGAGAGAGAGTGACGGAGAGAAAACTTTGGGAGTCGGGACGAGCAATCGAGGAAGAGGGAATGGGAGTGGGGATGGGCGGGCTGCTGGCTCTGGCTAGAGCCTGGGCTTCTAATTCTATATTATATGTATGTGGATGATTTTCTCTCTCCTTTATCTAATCAAAACATAAAGAGAAAGTGAGAAACCGCCAGAGCCAAAACACTGCTCCAGGCCGAGGCTGATCAGTCTGAGGTGCAGAAGCAACAAGGATAATAATGAATGTACGTATGGGAAGTAGAGAGAGACTGAGAGGCTGAGGCAATAGAACCGTACTGCCTTGGAGGGACCTTTGTTTTTGTCGTGACAATACATACGGTGGGGAGGGGGGAGTACAAAGGGAGGTTGCTTTGTTTTGTTGCTATCTATCCCACAACCAACACTCAATGTTAGCGTGAGGACCGAGGGTATCGGGAGTGGACTTTTAGGTAAGGCTGGTACAGAAAATCCGGTCAAGTTTTATGCACTAGACCATAGACTGTGCCATCTATGATCTATCTACCTACATTCCCAGCGCGGGCGGTGACTCTTTTTGGTTGGTTTATTCTATTTGTCCCCACGAAGGTTAAACACAGACCGTAAGAACTGTTGAACAATACAACCACTGTCTAAACATGGGACCTAATCACCTAACCTCGCAGCCTCCTCTCCTACCCAGCACCCACCACCATCCCACCATCTATCTTAGTTTTTTGTTTGGGTCCATTTTAATAGGGGTGCTAATCGGACCGGATCTGGTCAGAATCCAGATGAATCAGGTCTAATTCAATCCGATAAATACTTTGAGCCATTTTGGTTCGGTCCAATTCTGTGTCCGAATCATCCCATTTATTCAAATTGGTTTTAATTTAGATTATTTCCGATGCATATAGGGCCTATTGACACCTTTATTCTTATCGAGTGAATCTAATATTATTATTCAATCCAACCCATTTCAATATAAATCCATTATGGATGGATCAATTTAATATGCCTTGTTGGTTCATTTAATCTGTTTAAATTGATTTTGTTTTGAACAAGTCCAACCTAAAATTGGTATATTGATAATAATGTTTTCGTTGTTCTGGCCAGTTGAATTGCTGAAACTGTCACTCGGTCAAGATTTCGAGCCCGGTTTTAGTAAAATCTGATAGACAGTCAAGAATTATTGACTTGGCCAAGAACTGTTCGACCCAAATGGTTGGACCATTGATCCATTCGACCCAGTGACTGGATCATTGGTGGCACACTAAATGTATATGAAAACTTTGAGAGCCCATAACTTTGCACACCGATGTTCAATTGAGGATTCTTTTTATTATTTTATATAACTTTTCAAGATCTATGCATCTCAAGGGGTCTTAACACCTTGCCCCGTTATTTTTGCCAAATAACCCTTTTGGCCTCAAATTGAAAATTTTAATATTTTTTATAAATAAAAAATTTAAAATAGAATTAATTAAATATAAAGTAATACACACATTAAATGTAAAACATAATTATATATTATTTATTGATAATATATATATATATATATATATATTCAGCCTCTGGATCGAATTTTAAAAGACTGATTGACACCCCTAATAAATAAGCAAAAACTATCTTATGTTGGGTGACTCACATTTGCATCCTTGATCTTATTCTGGTAAGAACTTGTTGTTATCGGATGGGAGTAGCCCTCAATTAAGGAAAAGCTCAACACATCATCACATGGGCTTCTCCCTGAATATGGGTAAGTGAGCTTGTAGTTTGGCGTATTTGGAAATTGGAATAGTCGACATGGAAGATTTGAGACAGATACCACTGTTGCTGAATCAGCGAAGCTCCGCCTCGGCTACCGCAGCCCAATCGCTAGTGCGCCGAATGGACCGGTCGGTCGTACTATGCACAGTTAATTCATGGGATGGAAGGAAGGGACTCCATTGATTCAGTTGGGCTCACTGCCTCAATCGTACCTGAATCATCAACTCATGTTCGAACCCCCCATTTAAAGAAGATTCTACGTTTAACGCCTCCTTCAAAGCTGTTGTCGTTGCTTGTCTCGTCGTCACCAGTTTCCGTCAAGCTCCGGCCACCTTTGTCTCGACTCTCGACCAAACATGAAAATAACGGTGGAAAGTCGACGGAAACTAGAAAAGGTCCATGCGGATCAACGAGCTAGCCCGGTATTATCATCCACTTTGGATAAGCTTTTGGTTGTGACTTGTGAGATTTGGGCCGTGGGAAACAAATTATAGCCAACCAAAATCTAAGACCATAACACGTTTAAGCCCCAGACCTTTCTGCTTTCAGGCTTTAAAAGCACAAATCCTGGACCCTATCCAAAAGCAACCTTACTCAGCCCTTAGGCTGTCGTCTGTTTTTAGTGACAGCGATTTTTTATACGTCTTTTTAATTAGAAATCCATCAAACCCTTCCTAGTTCCTACCATCTATCTTCTATCTTATACAGACAAAAATCACAAAATTGCTCTCATTTACACTTCTTATAATGGATTTTTTTTTTTTGCCTTAACATTAAAGCGATAACTAATGAAAATTAAAAAAAAAGATTAAAAATCAGTAAATTAAAACTTGAGATGGTAAAACTGCTTTTTAATGCCTGTAAATAAAGGCACTTTTTTGAATCTCAAATATTTGCATTTTGAAGGCAAGATTGAGCTGGTGTTGTTTTATATTTCTTCTTTATATTTTTATGTTATGATGAATAGGGGTGCAAATTGATCGGACCATGATCGATCTGAGATCCGATCCTATTTGGTTGAATTCGGATCACCCCTATTCGAATCTTTGTATCGGATCGGATTTGAATCACCCCTATCCGATCCAAGAAGATCCAATCCGATATATGTTATATATTTACAAATATAAATATATATGTAATATATATGTTATTTATTTATAAATGTATTATTTATATTATATTTTTATAAATTTGTTATATTATTTATTTTTATAAAAAACATGTATATATATGATAAAAATAATTAAGAAATACTTGTATTTTTATTTTTTTCTTTATTTAAATTGGTATATTTTATTTTTCTTTTAATACTTTATTAATTTTTACAAAAACAAGTCGAATCGGATCAAATCTGAAGATCCAACTTACTGATAGGATTCAAATTCAAACCGAGGCCTATCAGATCTAATCGGATCTTCGGATCAGACCGGATCCAACATGAATAGTGTGGATCGGATTCAAATATACCCTGATCCGAATCCTATCCGATTCATTTGCATCCCTAATGATGAATGGGTCTTGGTAGGAAGCCTTTCTTCCTTCTCTTAGGCTTAAGTCAAGTTGATCCTCTCTTTCTCTCTTTATCTCTTTATTTTAATAGTGGAGAGTTTTTCTACATTTCTTGTTAAGGCAAAACATTTAAATCTTATTTATGGTATTAAAATTTGTTGAGATGCTCCTTCCATATTTCATTTGTTTTTTTGTTCATGATAATTTTGTTTTTATTAGTAAGTCATAAAGGTGAAAAGCTTCTAAAACGACACTTGAGAATAGGTAATCTAGATTGTCAATCTAACTATCTTGGTGTTCCTTTATTTTAAGCAAGAAATAGAGCTCACTCTTTGTAAGATGTTCTTGATTATTTGAGGAATAAGTTGAACGGTTGGAGATCCTTGAATCTCTCTCAGGCCGGCAAGCTAATGCTTTCGAAGTCGATGTTACAAACAATGCCTAATCATGTTATGTCAATGTTTCAATTGCCATCGTGAGTTAATAAGAAAATTAATCTAATCCAAAAGTAACTTTCGTGGAATTATAGTAATAATACTAAAGTTTCTAGATGGTGTAATTCGGATACTATTTGTTCTCCTAAATATGAAGGAGGTTTGCAGTGGTGGAGTCAAGAATTTTCTCTTGGGGCCAAGTTAAACAAGAAAATGAGATAAGAAATAGAAGAGGTAGGGTGTGTAGGAAATAGGGAAATAGGGTGGGAAGGTTTGGGTCTATTATATATTTTTTTTAAAGAAAAAATAAACAAAAGTTTTTAATTTTGGAAGTTGGAGTAGCATTAGAGAGTGATCCAGAAACCCTTAGAGAGTCAATATACTTGGCTCCGCCCCTAGAGGTTTGGGACTTAGGGAGACTAAGGAAATGAATAGGTTTTTTCAATGGAAGTTAGCCTGGATGTTTTTTAGGCTCAGTTTTGGAAGAAGCACAAATGCAAATTTGTAGAGTGCAAATACATATAA